TAAGCAGCATCACAATTTACAAGGGCTATGGAGTCTCTCAGACACATCCTTTTGGACCCAGCTCTCTACTGACCCCTGGAAGTTGTTTACAATAATAACTCACCAGAGAAACATGCAAAATAACCTCAGTCTCTCCGTCAGTAAAATGGGAACGAAAGCCTTCATCCAGCAGGGAAGATAATCGATGTGAACTTGCTTTGAGGACTCCACAGAGAGGAGCACAGCTGTGTAAGCTGAGAAAATGAGGGAGGCAAGCTAGAGGAGGCTCCTCCTGTCCTCCCAAACCCTGGCCCCACCTCTACAGGATAGCAGTGAAGATCACCAGCACAGCCAACGAGCGGCTTTGTGAACCCAGGCCAGGCAGAGCGTCCCTTTGAGCCTCAGTTGCCACATCTATAAACTAAGTAGTAAAACAACGTGGGGGTAGCCATGGCCCCCTCCCAGGGTGGTCATGAGCACTCTGGCTGAAGGTCGTGGACTCGTGCAGGTGTTTGGTAAATGTGGGTTCTGTCCTTTCCTGGGGGGGCCTCTGTCTGGGCGTTAGCCTCTGTCTGCTGTCTCAGGTTCCAGGCTGAACAGGGAGGGAGAAGCCCCCGGCCCCTCACCCACACAGTGGCCATCTCAGCAGCCTGGACTGCTGCAAGTCTCACCCTTCATGTCCCCCCTTTGGGACAAGGCCAGCCTTGCTTCTGTCCCCAGCCCAGGAGACAACCTTCATTAGAGCATTGAGCACAAGGCAACATTTATCTCACCTGGAGAAACTGAGGCTGAGAGAGGGTCAAGGACTCTCTCACCATTCCTCACCTAGCTGGATGTGGTGGCTCACACCTGTAATCCCAGCATTTGGGGAGGCCAAGGTGAGAGGATCACAGAACTCCTGAGGTCAGGAGTTCGAAACCAGCCTGGCCAACACGGTGAAACCCTGTCTCTACTAAAAATACAACAATGAGCGAGGCTTGGTAGCACATGCCTGTAGCCCCAGCTGCATGGGAGGCTGAGGCAGGAGCATTGCTCCCGCAATCCAGGAGGCAGAGGTTGCAGGTACTACTGCGTTACAGCTTGGGCGATGCAGCGAGACTCTATGTCAAAAAAATAAGTAAATAAAGGCCCCTCAACTGTTGGAGGCAGCTGGGCCTGCTTTGATTTTGGGGAATGCGGGGTTAAAGGTGTGGAGGAAGCAGGGAAGTCCCAGGGAGGTATGCCTGGCTAAGACCCTGCAGGAGGGATTCCCACCAAGATGGAGCCAGGTGACGTCCAAGGTCCTTGGGGCGGCCTGCTCGCCTGCCCATGCCAGGGAGAGGGGTGGTGTCAGAACGGGCACTCCTACTTGGCGCTAGCTCCTGCCAAACCTTATCAGCCCTCAAAATGCCCCCGAGTGAGCTGATTCTCTGTGTGATAAGAGTCTCAAGGTTGACACACACCAGCCACAGACAATGGCCGGGCACTGGGTGGGCAACTGGTCCAGGAACAATGCTGGACCACCAAGGGTTAATCAGGGAGCCAGGAAGGGCCGGACCCCAGCCAGGCAGCAGAGGTGGGGGTGGGGACGTCTTCTCCATCCCCATCCTGGCCCTTCACTCTTCCAGACTGTTCCCACTCCAGGGCCTTTGCACCGGACGTTCCCTTTGGCAGACACACCCTTCCCTTCTCTCTTCTGGGTTTTGTGCTGATGTCGCCTCCTCCAGGAAGTCTTCCCTGACTGCCCATATCAAGGCCAGTTCCCTCCAGCAAACGTGATTGTCACTCCCCATCTTTTCCCTTTCAGAGCATTTGTCATAATATTAATAGTAATTAAATAATGGAATGCTGGATTTTGCCATTTAGTGTCTGCCCCTCCCCCAGACACCGGAAGCTCTGTGAGGACAAGGACTGTATCCATCTGTCCATCTTATTGGCTACCACACAGGGCTTCCTATCAACAGAGATTTGGGGAATAACGGAATGGGCAGCGGGTTTGCTCCCCTATCAGGACTGTGGGGCAGGAGGACCAGCTCCCAGAGCTGAAGTGGGTGGATCACCTGAGGTCAGGAGTTCAAGACCAGCCTGGCCAACATGGTGAAACCCTGTCTCTACTAAAAATACATAAATGGACGAGGCATGATAGCATATTTCCATAGTCCCAGTTGCATGGGAGGCTGAGGCAGGAGAATCGCTTGAATCCAGGAGGTGGAAGTTTCAGTGAGCCAAGATCGTGCTGCTGTACTCCAGCCTGGGCGACAGAGTGAGACTTTACCTCAAAAAAATAATAATAAAATTATTTTATTATTTTATAATAATATAATTATTATAGTGAAGCATATCTCAGGGGCTCAGCTGAAAGCAATAGCTGTTAAGGCTGGGAGGAGATGGGGCTCCCTGGCTTATTTCTAGTACCTGGGAGGCCTTCACTTGCCCTGCATCCAGGATGGCAGCGTCACGGCACTACCCAGGCACCCACTGTGTGCCGCCCAGGAGAGTGGGAGATGGGGTGGGTAGGGATCCCACATGGGTCAGGTGCGGAACCACTCCTCTCTTACAGCCTCTGAGGGTTCCGGGCAGCCACCGGCGCACAGCAGAGCCTCAATTAATGGCTTTGATGGAAAGTGCCCTCTGTCCTAAGGGAGGGACCCAGGAAGGTTCTACGAGATTGAACTTAGAGAGAGGAACTCGGGACAGGTGGTGGCTGAGGACAGCTGTGAGAGGATTTAGAAGGGACGGATGAGGGAGTATCGGGAAGTGAGGGACTCCACTGTCCCTCTGCAGAGCCCAGGGGTCCTCGTCAGCCTGGGATCAGTGCTTCCCAGCCACGGCCAACCCCAGTCATTTTTTTTTTTTTTTTTTCTGAGATGGAGTCTCGCCCTGTCATCCAGACTGGAGTGCAGTGGTGAAATCTCGGCTCACTACAACCTCTCCCTCCCACGTTCAAGCAATTCTCCTGCCTCGGCCTCCTGAGTAGCTGGGATTACCATTTTTTTGTATTTTTGGTAGAGACGGGGATTTCACCATGTTGGTCAGGCTGGTTTCAAACTCCTGACCTCGTGATCCTCCCTCCTTGGCCTCTCAAAGTGCTGGGATTACAGGCGTGAGCCACCATGCCCAGCCAATCCCAGCCTTTAACGGGACCCATGGCCAAGTTCCCACAGGGGCTTGAGAGCAGGTGCTGAGGTCAGAGCTCTGGTGCCCGCCCTGCTGTTGTCAGCTCCCAGCAAGTCCTCGCCTCCTGGATGGGCCTCAGTTTCCCCATCCGAATAACAAGGGCACAGTGCTTTCCAGCTGCCCTGGCCCTCTCCACACATGGCTTACCTCTTTCCTGACCCAAGGGTGTGCTTGCACCGAGGCCTGACCGGAGGAGGAGCTGGGCCTCCCTGGGGCAGAGCTGGCCCATGGCCATCCATCCTGGGGTCGGCTCTTGTCCTGGTCTGACGGGAGCTGCCCTCACCTCCTCCAGCGGGGGCTGAGAATTTCCGTGCTGACCTCACCATCTGGACGAGCGGTTCCAGATGTGGGCCGGGAGTGGGGAGGAGGTTCCTGGGAAGGTCCTGGAAGCTTCAGAGGGTACTGAGGCTGAGAAGAGGGCCAGCTTAACCTGAGTCTCCCCTTGAGCCAGGACCCCTAGAATCACCCACAGTCAGGCCAGGCTGGTGCTCAGTGCTGGCTGGAATTCGGGACAGGAGGGGTAGAAGGCGGGGGCTGAGGGGAGCACCAGATGGGGAGTCCAGAAGCTGCATTCGCATCTGGCTCTACTGCCTCCTCACTGCGGGGCCATGGGGTGACCTCTTCTATCCAAACCTCAGTTTTCTCATCACTCAAATGGGCACTTTGATACCTGACTCCAGGAACTCCATGGAAGCTCTGCCAAGCTCCAAGAAGGATGACACCTCCCCTTGTTAAATGGCCCCTGGGAAGCTTGTGCCAGGCGGCTCTGGGGACACTGAGGTCTGTTAGACCTGGTGCCCAGCGTGGCCGGTCCCACCCCACCCCCAGCACAGCCCTGCCTCCCACTCCTGGGCCCTCTCTTCTGCTCTTGCTCCTGTGGTTCCTGCTCCCTGGGGCACCCTTCCCCACCACCTTCTAACTCCTACTTATTCTTCAAGACCTATTTCAGGTGCCTCCTTCTCCGGGAAGCCAACCCTGATAGCCCCATATCCCAACCTGGAGAGGGTGTTGTGTTTGCAGGGGACAGTCTAGCATGGTGTTTAGGAGCACAGACTCTGGGGCAGACTGCTGGGTTCAAATCCTGGCTGTGTGACTCCCTCGCTGTGTGACCTTGGGCAAATCCCTTAACATCTCTGTGCTCTCGTAGTCCTCTCTCAAGGGGAGTAACAGAACCACCCTTAACACGTGTGAACAACTCAGCATGGCATGACGTGAGCTCTCAATAGGCGGTGGTGGTTGTTATGGGATGGGCAGGATTTCTCCCCCACATCCCTGACTGCCAGCTCCATGCTGGGCACCGCCTGGTGACAGAGACTCAGGACTGAGAACTGGCTCCGGAGCCCAGGCCCCTCCTGGTGAAGTTCCTCTCCCAGCTGAGTGGAGGCGGGAGCCTGTGAAGGTCAACAGCCCTGGGCAAACCCACATATCCGGGTGGGTGTGTGGGACGGGCTGAGGACAGGTCTGTTTGCTCCCGGGCCCCAAGCCACAGCACCTGGTGGCCGGTGCCCAGCCAGCAGCTCAGCATAGGCATTGCCCACTGTGCCACCCTGACCCCTGAGGCTGGGCCAGCAGGAAGTGGAGCAGGGTTGGACCCACACTCCCTGGAGTCAGGGTTGAGGACGGGCTGTGCCCGTGGAGCTCGGGGTCTCTCTCTGTCCCCTACCCGGTTCTGACTTCTGGGCCCTTGGTTGTCCGGGTTGCTGAGATCTTCAGTGGCTCCTGGCTCCCACCCCAGGAGGGAGAGGCTCCAAAGCCACAGTAAATGGGGTGAGGTCACAAGTCTACACACAGGCCAGATACATGTGTCACCATGGGGACGAGGGCCAGCCTGCTTTTCCCTGAGGGGGGTGGTGGTGGTCGGAGGGATGCAGCTTTCTGAGAGCCGTGGGGGCCCAGACAGCAGCACACAGGCGTCCTATCCGGCAAGTCTGGGGTTCAAGCCCCACCCACAGGGCCCGTGATGCCTGGGGCTCTAGGCAGCTCCCGAGACCCGGGCCCTGAGCCAGTACACCTACAGACCCCGAAGTGAGCAGTCAATGGCCTGGCTCCTATCTATGTCCAGGGCTGTGGCCGCCCGGGCCACCCTCCCCTACCAGGACACAGGCATGGACAGCAGACGTCGGCATTGCTAGACTGCTGCACCCAGTGCATGGCTGGGGAGATTGAGGCTCGGAGGCCACGAGCACCAGGTTGCCAGCTGGTGGGAGACCTGTTCCAGCCCCCTGACTCCATGCTCTGCACAGCTCTGGCCCTGGGCCCTGTATCCAGAGTCCAGCTCTGTGTCCTCATCCCAAAGCTGAAACCAGGGCTGCCCCTGGGGCCGGGGTCAGGACAGGGAGCGGGGAGGCGGCACTGGCTCCCCTTTCTGCTGTGGTGAGGGTTTCCCTCTCTGTGCTTCCCTGGGGGAGGCCGGTAGAAGGGACCTGCAGCCTGCTGGGCCCAGGACACAGATGTGGCTGGGGTGGGCAGGCAGGCTCGTCCTCCGCTGCCCAGGGCCGCCCCCTGCAGGGCCGCAGTCAGCCCTGCCATGAGCTGGGGAGGAGAGGCAACTCCACAGCCTCCGGGTCTGTGCTGTGCTGCACCACCCAGGGGGCCGGCGGACAGCCACGGCCACCTCCCAGCCCCTCCCGGCCTCAGCAGCCCCCTGCTCCTGCCAGGATGGCCGGGCACAGGCCCAGGGGCAGCACCCGTGGAGAGGCCAGACAGGACCCAGGTCAGCCCTGCCAGGGCCTGGAGAGAATTGCTGGAGGGGACTCCTGCGGATGAGGGACGGGGGGCCCACTCGAACACAGGGACCGAGTGGGGAGAGACATGAGGATGAGGAATCCTGGCAGGAGCGGCCCTGAGGCCAGGCCTCTCCAGACACACAGGCAGGGAAACTGCAACCCTCCCGTCACCCAGAGGCACGCTCTGGAACTCACACCCCATGCCTCACACACTCATGGGCTCACGCAGTCGTGTGACATTCGGCCAGGATACACTCACCCACGAGGTCACTGCACACGCACTACACATGGCTGCACACACACCCGCTGCAGCAGCCCTGGGGCTCCGTGCTCCGTCCTCCGGGTCCACTCCAGGTCCACTCTGGGTCCACTCCAGGCCGGCTCCCCTCCTTGGGGGCCCCAAAGCTGACCAACAGCCTGAGCCTCTCTCTGTCCACCTCCCCTCCTCCCTGAGGGCCCAGCTGGTCCCTCCCAGGCTCAGCCTGAGGTGGGGAGGCATCCCGGGTGTGGGAAAAGCCGTCCCCTCGCCTGCCAGAGCCTGGAATGCGCTGACCAGCACATCGTGATCCCCGCTGTGTGCCCCACCGGGCGGCTGAGCCGGCGGGGGCGGGCAGCGGGACTAGGTGTGGGAAGCCAGGGTGGGCTGGGGGACAGGCCCTGCAGCACCTGGCCATCAGACGGGACCCCAGAAGCCAGGGCAGGGGTCGGCAGCCAAGCCTCCCATCCCAAACCTGCCCTTAGCTGATGGGAGGGTTTGAGTCCCTGGAGGGACGCCTAATCCGGGAGGAAGAGCCAGGCGGGGGACCCTGCCCAGAACGTGCCATTCCTGTGGAAAAGGAGTAGCTGCTTTCCCTGATCCTGAAGGAGTACAGTGGGTGAGAGTCCAGCAGGAAAGGGCCTGGGGGTCAGGGCCGGGTGACCCCATCTCTTGTGCCTGCATGGAGAACCAGCTGGAAGGGAGGGGCCCCAAGGGGAGGGAGATACGGGTTGGGAAGGGTGCAGAGACCTTGTCAAGCCACCTGGGGGTGGGGCCTCTGTGCTCCCAGCCCCCCCATCTATATCCCAGGACTCCCTGTGCCCTCCCACACTGGCTTCGAGCAGATGGCGGTGCAGGTGGGTGAGACCCTGGACTCGGGGAAGGAGAACGGGGCAGGACTGGGGGCTCCCTGAGCTACCCATGCTCTCTGCACAGAACTGGGGATGCTGGCTCTGGCCTCTCATCAGACCTTGGGGCTGAGGGGCGTGGGGGTGAAGGTCCCTCCAGAGCTGGCCTGCTGGACAGGCATGTCTCTCCCACCCCAGCCCCGGTCACCCTGTCACAAAGACACCAGAGGAACAGAGTGTTGGCCCGTGCCTGGCACTGGGTTGGGGGCAGGCTGGGTGGGCAGGGACCCTCCTGAACATGTGGGGGTGGGGTGGGAGAGAGGAGGCTGCATCCCCGTGAAGCTGCCCCCCGCTCTCTCTTGTGCTCAGTTTGAAGCCTTCTGTGCGGGGGGCCTGGCCCCCGGCTGGAGCCTGCTGGTCCAGGGAAAGGCTGATGGTGGAGAGGACAGGTCAGCAGCACCGCCCTCCCTTCCCTGGGCCTTGGGCTGGGCGGCTGGCCCGGCTCTTGACCCGCAAAATGTCCGCCCCAGGTTCGAGATTAACTTCTTGTCGGAGACGGGGGATATTGCCTTCCATGTCAAGCCCCGGTTCTCCAGCGCCACTGTGGTGGGCAACGCCTTCCAGGGCGGCCGCTGGGGCCCGGAGGAGGTGTCTAGCATCTTCCCACTGACCCTGGGGGAGCCCTTTGAGGTGACAGGGGCCTGGGTGGGGCCTGGGCCAGGCAGGGGCCACTGGTGGGGGAACAGGGGCTGGTGGGCAGGGGGTTCACTGTGGATGCTTGCAGGTCGGCAGGCCAGGGCAGGGACTGGGTGGGCCTCCCTGGCCTCAGTTTCCCCACCTGTGCAGTGGGTGCCCACTAGCCTGGCTACCAGCCGCCCCATCTTGGGAGAAAGGAGGAGGCTTTGGGGTGGGGGGGCTAAGCCAGGGGACCCCCAAGGCCTGCCAGCCTGTGCTTCCTGGAGACAGCCTGCAGGCACATTCCTGTTAGAAGCAGGACCAGACCCCAGGCCCTGGGGCCGGCACTGAGGTCACTGGCCCCGGCCTGCCCAGATGGAGGTCAGCTCGGACGCGGAGCACTTCCATGTCTACGCGCAGGAGCACAAGGTGCTGCAGTTCCCGCACCGTCAGAGGCCGCTGGGTGCCATCACCAGGGTGCGGGTGCTGAGTGACCACCACCTGGCCCAGGTGGAGCTGGCCAAGAGGGGCCTGAGCTGGGGGTAAGGTCCCTGCTCCCAACCCAGGGCCCTGCCCATTCCCACCCCACACTGCCCACCCCAGCAGGGACTTTTCTTCTCACCCTGATCTGGGGACCCTCCTCCACCTGGGGAGGGGGCTGTCTGCCTGTCACTCCATCCTGCTCCTCTCCCTGCCAGCCTTGCACATCCAACCACGGGAACAGGGCCACGGGAGCAGGGCCACAGTCCACCTCCTGCCCTGGTCTGTGCATGGGCAGGGTGGGAGCTAAGGAGCGTGCCTTGGATGTTTGCAGGGACCGGGGCTATTGAGCGGCACCTGCAGCCCCAGGAGCAAGCTTTGGCTCATCCCATGTCCAGGACACCTGGAGCCCCACCCTGGGGCAACTGGGGGAATAGATTTGTGGTCTGGTGTGCTCCCCCCAGCTCCACTTTCAATAAACTCTGAGCAGGCTGCAGGCACTCAGCTGGTGTGGGGTGGGCGAGGGAGGCTGAGGTGGGGCCGGTGCTATGTAGCACTGGAAGCTGGGGGCTGGGGGCTGGGGGATGGTGAGACCGACACCGCAGAGAAGACCCAACCCTTTCACTTTGTCCCCAGGTCACTGAAGCTCTTGAGGCTGGGATGGACTGGGGAGGGGTGTCGGATGGCATCCGATCTGGGGAGGGCACCTGGCTATAGGCCAGAAGTTCCCATTGGGGCCCAGGGGACAGAAAGACAGGGGCGGGCGTGGCCTGTGCCAGTCCACACCCAGGGCCGCTGGGCTCAGGCTCTTGCCACGGCTCAGCCCTGGTGGGGAGGGTCAGCCCTGGGGGACTCAAGTCCTGCCCAGTCTAAGCCATCTCCTCAGAGGCCCGAGGCTTCCTTCTCCCACTGCTTCCTGTTTCTCCCATCCCACCTGGAGGGAGACATGTGCCAGTCCCAGCAGCCTCCTGTGTGTGTGGTGAGAGCAAGGCTGGTGTGTGGTCGGGGGAGGAAGCCCCTGCAGGCCTCGTACGGGAACAAGAGCACTGTGGGGAGAGTCCCCCAGGCCTGCTCCTCCTGGCTTCGTGACTGTCCACAAATCGCCCCCCCACTAGCCTCAGTTTCCACATCTATACAAAGGGAGTTGTAGCTCTGCCTCTGGTCTTCGAAGGGCTCAGCCTCCCGATGACAGAGCCCAAGAGCCCCAAGGAGGGAGGGTGACTTCAGGGGCTCACACAATGAGATTTCCCGGGAGTTTTCATAATTGGGTGTTAATTCTACTACAATTACCAACACAGGGTATGTATTCTACAGATCAGATCTATTCATCTCTATCTCTACCTATCATCAATATCTATTGTCAATCACATATATATCATCTATATCCATCACCATCACCATCAATCATCTACCTATCACCTATCTATCTATTCATCTATCTACCCACCTACCAATCTATCTATTATTTATCAACATTAAACTGGTGATGTCACAATTTAGGATGAAACTCCACAGGTATTTAACCTTAACAAGTCAGTTACTTAAAGGAAAGTATTAGGCCAGGCACAGTGGCTCATGCCTGTAATCCCAGCACTTTGGGAGGCCACGGCCAGAGGATCCCTTGAGACCCCAGGAGTTCGAGACCAGCTTGGGCAACATATCGAGCCCCCATCTCTACAAAAAAATACAAAAATTAGCCAGATAGGATGGCTCACACTTGTGGTCCTAGTTACTCAGGAGGCGGAGGCAGGAGGACTGCTTGAGCCAAGGAGGTTGGAGCCATGATCACGCCACTTCTCTCCAGCCTGAACAGAGCAAGACTCCTGTCTCGAATGAATGAATGAATGAATGAATGAATGAATGAATGTATTAGCTCCGCAGTTGCACAGACAGGAGATCAGAGGGGGAGCTGGACTTGAGAACGGCTGCCTTGGTTAGAGCCTCAGCTCTGCCACTCTCTGTGCATGACTCTGGGCAAGGCCCTGAGCTCTGGGGACCTCTGTGAAATGGCACAATAAGTGCCTTCAGCATAGCATGTCTTTCTGCCTCAGTGAGTTAATTCAGATGACACCGTGCCTAGACAATGGCTAGCACTTGTTTTTTTGAGACTAATTCTCAATCTGTCACTCAGACTGGAGTGCAATGTGCAATCTCAGCTCACTGTGGCCTTTGCCTCCCAGGTTCAAGCGATTCTCCTGCCTCAACTTCCCAAGTAGCTGGGATTACAGACGAGACCCACCACCCTCAGCTAATTTTATATTTTTAGTAGATGTGGGGTTTTGCCATGTTGGCCAGGCTGGTCTTGAACTCCTGACCTCAGGTGATCCACCTGCCTCAGCCTCCCAAAGTGCTGGGATTCCAGGCATGAGCCACCATCCCTCGCTAATTTATTTTTTTCAGATAGAGTCTTGCTCTGTTACCCAGGCTGGAATGCAGTGGCACAGTCTTGACTCACTGCAACCACCACCTCCCAGGTTCAAGCAATTTTCGTGCCTCAGCCACCTCAGTAGCTGGGATTATAGGCGTGCGCCACCACACCCGGCTAATTTTTAAGTTTGTTATGGAGACTAGGTTTCACCCTGTTGGCCAGGCTGTTCTCAAACTCCTGACTTCAGGTGATCCACCCGCCTCAGTCTCCCAAAGTGCTGGGATCACAGGCATGAGCTACCTGTGCCCGGCCTGGCACTTGCTTTAATGCTACTGTATAATTCCCAAAGATCTTGACTGCTAAGGTTTTATAAATGGGGAAACTAAGGCTGAGGTGGAGACAGGAAGTCAGCAGGAGGTTGGGACCCGGAGAGGAGGGTCCAGCGACCCACACTGCCCTCCAGCGCTGGGGAGGCATCTGAGGGCGGACCATGTCACCCCCACCCCCAGGTGACACAATGGCGGCCCAGTCTCCTGCTGTGCGGCTTCCTTCCTGTCTCCGCTCACTTCCCCGCCTGCATCCACGGCCCAGCTGGCAGGAGCCCCTTCCTGCCGCCTCTTCGCCTCTTCAGGAGGCCTGGCCTTTGTGTCCACCGGGAGGGGCTAGGGGCAGCAGTCAGACAAGCCCTAGATATGGGAGGGACTGGGCCAGGGGGAAGTAGGGGCCTACATAGCGGGGCCTGGGTCTGTGGTCAGGCCTGGCTGCTCCTGCTCCTGGGGGCTATAAGCCCGGCAGGGAAGGTGTCCGGCTTGGCCTGCCAGGCTCTGGCCTCGAGACCCGAGCTGCCTGCTCACCCTCTCTGGGCCTCAGTTTCCCTGCAGGTAAAAGGCTCCCTCCCTGCAAGCGCTGCCTCCCCAACAGCCATGCAAGGTGAGAGTGCGAAAGTGTGCGATGACAGGCCCTTTGCTTACTGTGGGGTGGCTGAGGCTGGGGACGACCTGGGCCAGGCCTGCACCTTCTCCCCCAAACTCGGCAAGTTGTGGAGTGCAAGCTTCATTTTACAGCTGTACAAACAGGCTTGGGGAGGTGGAGTGACTCACTCTGGGTTGCTCAGCAGGTGAGAGTTGGAGCTGGCCCTACTCTTCACTCCTGTATGCAAACCAGACCACAGGGGCTCCAGACCCTGAAGCAATGTTGATACTCAGTCTCCCCATCCATAAAATGGGGTGCAGGGAGCTATGGTCTCCAGGCGTTCTGCTGTAGGAGCTGTCTGCCCTTCCTATCACACCTTCCATGGCTCCCATTGCCCTCAGCACAAAGCATAGTTTCCAGTCTGATCTGGCCTCAGCCCAGTGCTGCAGCCCCAATGGCCCATTCATTCCTTGACCAGCCACTTCAGCTCAGAAGACACCTCCTCTGGGAAGCCTTCCTGGCCTCCTCCTGGGCTCTTGAAGCCCTGGCTCTCACTGAGGCCCTGCCTTCCCATCACACGAGATGCCCATTACCCTGCTGACCGGAAGCAAATTTCAGAGTTGACTTAAATCTGCTCCTCCCCTGTGCCATGGCAGAGGCCCTTTAGAAGGCGCCCACACACTCCTTGATGCCTCCAGAGACCCAAAGGCATCAGTAGGTGTTGTCTCCAGCTAAAGCTGCTGCGGGAGGTCAAGTGGGGCAGCCCCCAGCATGCTGAGCTGAATCTCTGGGAAAACTTGTCTCCCCCTCAGTTCTCTCTCTGGAGTTGAGGTGGGGTTCAGGCAGATGCCCTGAGCTGGGCCTGTCTGGGGAAACACAGCTGCTGGGGAAGGAGGCTGCAGGCCTTGGCAGTTCACGTCCACAGGCCTCCCAACACCACCTGCTGGCTAAAGGCTCCAGGCTCTCTGGGGGGTCAAGGAACGGCTCAAATGCCCACAGGGTCGGGAGGGTAAATATGCCTAAGTGAGGCAGGAGGGCACAGGGCAATAGGGGTTGGTGGGGTCTGCGGCTAACAGGAACACCACCCCCACCCCATTCTGCCCATCTCCTTCCAACCATGCACAGAGACATGTAGACCCAGAGTGGGCAGATCTTGGAATTTAAAACATCTGAGTTTCAAGTGCTGTCTGCTAGCTCTGTTTTAAAACACTGGCCACTACGTACAGAAGGTATCAGCGGCAGGCAAAGCTGCCCCCAGGTGCGTCAGGCCTGAAACTTCTGCTTGCTTTCCTCTCCCCTCCCTCCCCTCCCCTCCCCTCCCCCCCCTCCCATTTTTGCCTGCCTTCTGTCTCTCTCCTTTCTCTCTTTCTTTCCTTTCTTCCTTCCTTCTTTCTCTTTCTTTTCTTTTTTCTTTCTTTTTTCTTTTTGAGACAGAGTCTCGCTCTGTTGCCTAAGCTGGAGTGCAGTGAGGGCAATCTCAGCTCACTGCAACTTCCACCTTCCGAGTTCAAGTGATTCTCCTGCCTCAGCCTCCCGAGTAGCCAGGATTACAGGCTCACACCACCATGCCCGGCTAATTTTTGTATTTTTATTAGAGACGGGGTTTCACGGTGTTGACTAGGCTAGTCTCGAGCTCCTGACCTCAGGTGATCCACCCCTCTCAGCCTCCCAAAGTGCTGGGATTACAGGCGCCCACCACCACCACGCCCAGCTAATTTTTGTTTTTAGTGGAGACGGGATTTCAGCATGTTGCTCAGGCTGGTATCCAACTCCTGGGCTCAAGCAT